AACAACACCAAGATATTCTTTATCAACCACAGTATTTAATGTATTCCCATTTAATTTGTAACAATAATTTGAATTGTGAAAATCTACATGCATCACTTTACATTTTGGATAGTTAAACATCATCTGCCACATATTGGCCCAGTACATCAAATGATCTAAATCTCCCTACAAGTCTGCAGCATCTTTGATACAGTTAGCCACTCCAAAAATGTTAATGTCATCTGCAAATTTCAAAATTTTGTTAGTCATTTCAGAGTCAATATCATAAATATAAATCACAAACAGCAGTGAATCCAGCACAGAGCCCTGAGGCACACCACTTGTAACTGTAATCCAGTCAGATCTAACTCCATTTATTACTACTTTCTACTCTCTAGCCAAATTGCTATCCAATTTAATAACATTTCCCCCACACCCACAGATTTGATTTTTGCAACAAATCTTTTGTGAGGCACCTTATCAAATGCTTTCTGAAAATAAAGGTAAACTAAATCCACAGTATTTCCTTCATCAACTCTTACAGTAAAATCCTCAAAGAATGTCAGAAGATTTGTTAAACAAGACCTTCCCTTAGTGAAACCATGCTGGCTTTTTGACATTATATCAAACTGCTTTAAGTGACTCTGCAATGCATCTTTAATCACGCTCTCCAAAACCTTTCCAACTATGGATGTAAGAGTAACTGGTCTATAATTGCCTGGACAATGTTTATCACCTCCTTTAAATATTGGACTAACATTAGCCAATTCCAATCTTCTAATACTCTTCTACTAGTCAATGACCTATAAAAAATATAAACTAGTGATTCACAAATAAAATCTTTAAGTTCCTTTAAACTCTAAGAAAAAAGTTGTCTGGTCCAGGAGATTTACCAATTTTTAGGTTTCCCAACTTTTCCCTTACAATTTCAGAAATTAAAATGATATCTTTTACATCAATAATTTTCCCATAAACTAAGTGCTCTGGTTGAGGCATAATACTTGTATCTTCCTTCGTAAAAGCTGAAGAGAACATGTAATTTGATAAGTTTACCATCTCACAATCTTCCGAGGTCAGCTTCCCACTATCATTTTTAAGAGGCCTAATCCTCATCCTAACATTTTTCTTACCCATATATATGCTTCAGAATTCCAGACTCAATAATTTTTTTGTCACAGTGTAAACATAGGTACATAGGTTAGAAGTTACTGGCAAAGATTTACTACTAAACTTCTTTTCCAGATATTTAAATCTTAGAGTGATATTCATGGGTTTAAAAAAAACTATATCACATTAAAAAATTTTAATAAGCATTTTCAACTGGCTTAACAAATATATTACATCACTAAAAAGACATACTACATATTACAAACAAGCTACAAGATGAATGTAGCATTGTTTTTAGTAACTTTCACTCAGCATATAAAAGCTTCTGCTAACATTTATGCTGGTTTAGATATTGTTTTTATATCCGACATGCAGAAAATAATGATAGAGGATGACTGTGAGGTTATCTAAAACTGAAAATATTAATAAAACTTTATTTGCTTTGACCAATTTAAATGAAAAGAACATGGTCCTTCCAAGTTTTTGCAACTCAATCAAAAGTCAATTTCAAAATAATTAAGTAAGAGAAATGAAATGTTAATTAAATGAAAAACATCATCATTTTACATGTTTGTTTGAAATTTATGCTAAAGAAGATGATAAAACTTATCAAAATAAACAAAGAAAGCTACAGTTAAGGATAAAAGAGTCTATGCACTTCTCTTATCTCACAACATAAATTTTGACTCAAATGCTGTTATTTTTTATGCTTACATTAAAGGCAATAAAAAAAGACAAAGATAATACTCTTTAAAGAAATCCCAAAAAATGGGAAATTCCTGTTAATTGAAAGCTTTCTAATCCAATCTCAATTTTTGAAATGTCTTGAGGAAAGACCAAAACAATTATAGACCTATCAATTTTATTGCTATTAGCAAAGTGTTGGAGGTAATTAGAATAACATTTAGAAAGTTGATATCATAATGATTCTAATCATCATACTTTTAGAAAAATATATTATTGTCTTCTGATCTTCTGAAATTTTTTTTTTAATAGAGCTTTTACTTGTTTAGTTGAAGACACCCCATTTAACATTAAATATCTTGGCTTTGTGAAAGTTGCAACTCAAGACAATAATAATAACTTAAGATTATTGTGGCATTGGTTGGAAAGGAAGGTAAATATGCTCAACAGTAAACAATAATGGATAAATATAAGTAGTCATTTCTGTGACTGAGAGAATACAATTAATTTATGGGGTACCTTAGAGGTCTGTTTTGAAAATGTTCTTGTTTGTTATTAACTTCAACAATTTAGATGACTTGTTGAACCATAATACTTTTAATTTTTTATGACACTAAGATACTGGGAAAGGTTGATGCTGTATAGAATGTTTCTCTTGTTCAAAAGGATCAGGACAGTTTTAAGTACTGGGCTAAAGGTAGAAAATGGATTAAGATAGTGAAATATATAGTAATGCATCTAAGCTATGGAAATTTGAAGAGGAGTTTTTGTGTGATAGGAGCAATGGTGTTATAGAAAACAGAACTTAAGTATGATTAAAGATATAGACTTAAAACCTTTAGGTATGTTAAAAACAATTATGCTTAGGATCTGTTTAAATTAAAGAGCTTTTGAATCTAAGAACGAGATTATTGTAGCCTTGTATAAAACTCAGTTGAGGCCTCAAGTAGAACAATGGAGGGTTCTGCACAGGATTTCAAAACTCGGGTTGAAATAACCTTGGATGTCAAATCTTAAGCTAAAGCTTTGAAATCTTCAAAATACATATGTGAGATCACTATGTAATAATTACAAGTCCAAGTATGCATCCTTTAATCTAACAATTAGACTGATTGCTGATTACCATTCATTTTCAAAGGTGCAACAAGTAACAGGTCATGATCAACTATTGACTGCTTTACAAACAAGCTGCTTGATAATCTGATTAAATTCATGTTTCTTTCCATTTCAAACTATGTAAAAGATGAAGGCCACAAGTGACAAATTAACAGATCACCTGTTTGATAGCTCTCCAATGAATATGCAAATCAATCTGAAACCACTCTCTCTCATTTCATTTATTTTTGCTGCATGACTGAGGTCTCATCACACACAAAAAAGCCATGAGATCAGCTATTATTTACATGGGTCAACCCATTTTTTAATGTGTACTACATATCTAGCATCTGCCTCAAAATGTAAATGTGTTTGATATCAATGATCACTTAAAGTCAGTAACAGCATTAGAACACTAAAATGTAAGTATTTTTGTTTTACTTTTTTAACATACATAAACCAAAATTTCCATGCATGAATGTACCTATATGACACAATGTTTGTGTGTGAACTCAGAAATCTGTGTATGAAATACTCAAAGCTCCGAGTTATTGAGAACTCTGATACTGTGGACATGTTTCCATACTAAGGGAAGGCTATTAATCTGCTAAAAAGTATGGGTGGGATATGAGAATGATACTTATTTTAAGAAATCTAAGCTATGAAGTGAAACTTAGGCATGTTTTTTGTGGATTGTAGAAGAACTAAATTGACTTGGTATTGAGTTTAAGGTTGTTAAGGGCATGACTAATCTTATAAACTTCAATGTTAAAGTAATATGTTTAGGCTTTAGAAACCGATCCAGACTTGTTCTGTAGCACAATTATTTCCCCAACATCAGTTGAGCTGAACAATTAACTCAATTACTCAATGTAATTGATTACCTATGAGCATCAATTACATCAATAGGTGTCATTTAACATAATCAGTTAATCACAATTATGATTAAATAGATTGATGTCATGAAAATAATCAAATAACTGGTGAAATTGGTGTTCCTGATTATTACTGTTTTAAATTATTCCAACTGTCCAAGAAATCAAAATATTTCCATCATGTTTTTTCCTTATTATTTTTAAGTCAAGGTTTTTCAGCTCTTCAATTGGTGTCACAGTCATGAAAATAATAACTAACTGAAACTAGTGTTTTCAATTATTAATATTTTTGATTATTAAAATTATTCAAGTTTCATGTGAGAATAATTGATTAGTTGAATGTAATGATTAATGAGCCCAATGATTAATCAATTATTAGATTCCACTAATCACCCAGCTCTAATTAGCAGTGATGTATTGCTAAGTTTAGAACATAGGGGTTACCACAACCTTTCTTATCCCCCACCCCTGCCATTGACAGAACAGTTAATTATCAAACTTAGAACTTCATAAATCTGTTGCTTAAGGACTATTATTATAAAGCAGCAGTACATGAAAAGTCAGGGAGTTTTCAGCTAGTGATGAAAACTTCATTTTATACAAAGCTTTCAGTGTCAGAGAAATTATTACAGTCCCATCATCCACACTTGAATGTATAAGAAAACAAAAAATGAAATAATCTGCATTTAAGGTATGGAAGTAGCACTCCACTTGCACATTAAATGAGGGGTTGGCATTCCCTTGTGACTACACCACTGCCCATTAGTTATATCCTCGTGGAATATTTTGTTTGTTAAATATATGAATGTGAATGGATACATTTATTTTTCATATAACACTAACAGTGACTTTATCCAGTATTCAAACAAGATTTTTTTCACAATCATACTTATTTATTAATATCTTATTAATAGTTAAATGAGACAATCATAATAAAATTATTTCTGTTTAAAATTTAACAAAATAATGTACCAAAAATGTTCAAATATAAATTCTGCTATCAGTTATTCTTATAGATTCCTGTTAAAATACCGAAACATTACTATTAAATAATATTAAACAGTAACAGCATTTAAATAATGTTATTTCTGAATATAAGTCATGACACTGCCAATGGAATATATACAGTGAGGTTTACATTACAAATACAAGTTACTTTATCAATATCAATACACATTATAAATTTCGCTAAAACTGATTTGACAAGTACTTATAAACAATTACTCACCATTACCAATACAGTAGTGATAAGAACCTAAATACATATGCACATAAGTATTATTTCTTTTCCCTCTATATTACATTTACACCAAAATCTTGCAACTACCTTACTGTTAATAATGTAAACTGTAATGTGAAAAACAAGTAAACGCTGTAGCCTAGAGCAGAACTACTTTACAGCTTGATTCCTTTTACTAACAGTAATACTAAGTTTAAGTTTTACTTTTATCTTTACATGTTAACTTAGGCCTACACTCTCATTTAATACCTTAAAAAAATAATCAAAGATAGTTATTGAGTTAGTAAATTACAAAGTGACAATAAATTTTTTTTCAATAACATCATTCGCAGAAAAGCTTACCTAAGATTTATCACAAATCCTTTAGAATTACAAAGTATAATACGAATTTTATTTCTCAACTACAACAATCGCTGTTTCCGAACCATGTATCAACACATCTTGTTACTTTAGTTTAACACAACATCACGTTCCATACCGAACTGAACTTAAGAACACGTATAAACTCACACTAGATAGTAGGTGTCCTAGCAACACTGACTCTCTCTATCGAGTGGTAAAAATAATGTTTATACTGTGTATTATCTTTAATCGCTGAAGCATCCTATATTTCCCAACGTCGTGTATGCTTGAGTGTATCATATTACATAAATAGGGGGAAAAAGTATAATTTTAACGGAAAGTAGGGATCGTTGGTTATTTGTAGAATTGCTATAAGAAGTATCCAAAACAAAATAAATGTTGCAATAACAGTACACAACTAAATAAAGTGATACTAGTTGGATTGATTTTGAATCCCTACTTTAGTGATCCGTATAGCTAAATGAAGTAGTATAAATTTGCCAACCAAGTAAGGATTGAAAATCGTTTTAAAATCTTACCAACTAGTATCACATTATTTGTTTGTGTACTTTTATCACAGCTTGTATTTTATTTTGGATACTTCTTATAACAATTCTACGAACTTTCCATTAAAATTATAATATTTTTCCAATTGATTTGTTCAGTTTAATATATGTCCTTGGAATGGACACAA